TCTCTCTCTAACTAATAGACTATTCGTATAAGGGCATCTCACTTTATGCATCCTATATTTTTTTCCTTTTTAACGTTTGATGGATAACTGGGACGGAAACGCATACGTTAACTCGGAGATATAGCACACCTCGGTTGAGTTGCTGCGTTATCAAAAATGTTATCCTGAACTGTTAAGTCGCCATAACGTGTGGACGTTAAAAATAGCATTTATGATACAGCACAGGGCTGATTATCACTCCTTTGGTTGACAGCTTTGAGGTTAGTTAATTAAAATCGGTGTTTGAAGTATTTTTTATTGGTTTTAAGTTGGATTAAACCGTCAAATTATATCAGCCTTATCCGATGGGTTAAAGCATCCTCTTAATTGATAAAGCAGAAATGGTTGGGGAACAGTGTTTTTAAATTCAGCATGGCTGCCAACAAAAATAATTGACGGTTTGGAAGGACATTTTCAGTTGAAAAGATTTGATGAGTCGCACATGCGCATTTCGCTTGTTTGCTAGATACATCAGAATATTGCAATAAATCCACATTTAAATTAAAATTAATACCTTCTTATTTAAAACTGGCTTTTCCGGAAGTTTTAAATTTAACACCCTATAAATCAGGAACAGTTGGAAATCTCCAGTCAGTCCTTGCAACTCTTTTTAGAGCTCTCTTCTAGAGCTGGATTTTATCAGAAATTCTTAACCTTTAAACCGACTGAAGTAAAAATAAGAAAACGCAAAAGAACGTTGCGCATATCTCCGAAACAAAAAAGAAATAGAATGATCATTCCGATAAGTCGTTTTGAAAGCCTTCTTGTTCTCAACCTTTACGCACCTATATTATATTTACGGCACTTATTTATGGGCACTTATTTATGAGCCACTCTATTGTTTATCCACTAATCCGTTTTGCACATTTTTCGGCTCTTCGTAAAATCTTGTAGTGTTCATAGTTTTTGCGCAAAAAATATTTCTGTTTTTGACATCTCATGAACAGAATAAGTAAGTTTTCAGCAAAATATGGCACTGAAGTACAGGCCTGAGTAACACTGTGTTGAGTTGCGCTATTGAGTTGTTGTCGCTCTCTGAGTTAACGCGTTATAACTAATTGGTTAATGAGTTATAATTCATTATTTAAGTTTTTTGAGATAATACGGGGAAATATATAAAATATATATCTAATTGTTAAAATTGGTCCTGCTAAAATATAGGGATCTTCTACAGGACGTCTTAATTCATTAATTAATTATTAATTCAATTCAAGTTAATAGAAGAATAATAGTAAAGAATATTGAAAAATTAATTTTATTTAAAGGATAAAAATTTTTTTTTTTAAATATTTTTTTTTTGTTAAAAAGGTAGAAAGTATAAAATGGCAATAGAAGCTACTAATGCAATAACTCCTCCAAGTTTTCTAGGGATGGAGCGAAGAATAGCATAAGCGAATAAAAAATACCATTCAGGTTGAATATGAATTACTATAGGGTTAGCAGGAATAAAGTTATCGGGATCTGTTAGAAAATAAGGAGAGACTGGAATTTTCACATCTAAAAAAGGGTTATTAACATTTTTTCTGAGTAACGTTTTACTACTTTCTTCAATCAACTAAAGAAAAGTAATTTAGACTTTCCCAGCAACAGAACTGAGTCCAAAGAAAGTCGACGACGAGTTTTCGCTTTTTCAGTTCGCAGAAATATTTTTGGAAAAAGACCCAGAAATAATTATTATGGTTTCGTCCATAATTCGAAGGTGCAAAAAGTTTGTCCAACATTTTTGCAAAGCAGTTGTCGGTGAATGTTTAAGTGGGCTGTATTTTTGTATTATTTTCTTCTTCGTGCGCGTCCCTATCTGAGATTGCACTCCCAACACCGACTTAAGTATGTGAATGCACCCAACCGACGAATTAAAACCCGATTGTCGGCAAAATTAAAATGTATATTGCTCAGAACGTTATTTCTACACATGTCTTGTTTGTTTCTTCAATTACCTTAGTTACTAGAAACAAATACAACTTAAAATAAAAAACTAATTGTCACATCGCCCCCTAGACTAACTTATGTGGTTGGCAGGAGAGACAAATAGATCTTATTTACTCATTTCCCAACAGCAGTTAAGGAGGCGAGTGTTAAAATAAAATTTATCATATAATTTTTCACAGAAAATACTTAAAGATTAAAGATTAGTAAAACTAAAAAACAATGCTATTTTTGCGTAGAAATAATTGCTTAATAGAAACTTTGTGAACACTGGAATCACCTGGAAATTTAAACTGAATATTATTATTTGCTTTTTGTGCCAAATTCGAAGCTGAAAAGGGTTTTCTAAAGTTCCCTGGAAACCGATGGATGGGGCGAATTTTCCAGCAAAATTAATTTTTGTCATTTTTGACTGTAAATAATGCGTTTTTTCGTTTTCGATTAAAAACTTTTAGTTTTGTTATCGGTTTTGGAGAAAACCTTAATGGTTTTCGGGAAAAAACGGTGGAAATTTTCGTTTTTGTCCCGAATTTGGCACTAAAAACAGTTTTTGTAAATTTTTTACAAAGCTATAAATTTATCTTGTAATTTTTCGCGTAAAAGTCTTCCAGATTTTTAAGTAAAACTCTACAAAATAGAGCGTTTTTGAGTAGGAAGTAAAAGAAAAAAAACTCAGTCAAAACTAAAAAACCACATTTTTTAACAAATTCTACAGTCGTCAGAGGTGACGAGATTTCCAAATAATCTGTTATAAACTTTCACTTATTCTGTTTGTTTTTTGATAGAAAATTGTTTGATTTTTGTTACAAATTCGAAGCTGGAAAGGGATTTCAAAACTTTTTACAAAGCGACGAAATATGTTTAAGTGAAACTTTTGAAAATTGAGCATTTAGAAGAAAGAGTAACTTGGCTAAAACAGGAAAATTCTGAAATTTGACATTTTAAAGGTATTATTAATAAATGACATTTAAAATAAATCTAAAAAAAAAAATTAAAAAAAGTCATCAACAGAACTGAATTACTGCGTCGGTGCGTTGGGTTGGCGCACCAAGCCATTTGCGAAGCACTGCGCCAATTCCGAAAATATCACTGAATTGCCCAGGCTTACTGAAGTATGAACAAATCCACATCAAGTTTCACTAAAATCTATATGAAAAAGGAGAACAAAAAGGGTCAGTGCATCGACTCAAAAAAAATCAGTTGATTGGAGCTTGGAGCTACCAAATGAAAAGTTGTGGTAGTTTTTGTACGAAGACACTCAAGAATTACTCCCCTGTCGAAAGCAGATTAAATCGGTTGTTTCATCAAAACATGAGTTTTACATCTTCCATGTTCTTCCAAATTTAAAAAAATATAAATTTATTAAAGACAAAAATTGTTTGAGGCGAAAAACCAAAAAAAAACCGGAAAAATTGCAGTTGTTCAAATGGTCATGGTCCAGATCAGTTTACAGACTAACCAACTATTAAAATGCACGTTTATCAATTCCGCAGGATAAATGAAAATGTTACGAAAAACTCCCGCTTTTGAAAGAACCACTCTGCTTAGGGATAGAAATAAACTGACCCGTCAAGAAAAATGACAAAATGAGCTCTTCTACAAGCAGCAAGTTCAAGTGGAGATTCCCAAGAAAATTCCGAATCGTGCTGAGCTAATTAAGTTGAAAAGTTTGGTGCCCAGCCAGAACATTTAACATTGTTCCGGTTGGAAAGGAGCACCCAACGTGCACCGGATTGCATACAAAGTAACTTCCACGCACTTTTAAAAATGCTTTTTTTAACTTCCTTAAATTTTCATAAATAAAAAATGCAACAGGAAAGCGAACATTTGGGTCTATAGGAGCTAAGTATTTTAAAAGAATTTGTCGTTTAGCTGATTTTGTGCAAATTTCTACACAAGCACCAAGAACAGCCTCATCAATAATTTGAATTGTTAGCAAATAGTCCATACCAGATGCTAAGAAAAAATTAGAAAATGTAAAAAATTTGACCATAAATCTACTTTTGCTCTTCCGGGAAATAAAACGAA